TCTATAAGATGGTTAATTCAAATAAAAAATAAAAATAGTGCAATGGTAGTCGCTGTACTGAGTTTCTCTTTAGGATTCAGATGAACAAGCTCACTTCTTTATTGGGAGGAGGCAGGGGAAAGAAAATATAAGTGCAGTTATCCTGTTTTCCTGTTGAGTCAAAAAGAATCTTGTCGGGCTGGGGATATAGCTCAATTGGTAGAGTGCTTGCCTCGCATGCACAGGGCCCTGGGTGATTGAACCTAGGTGATTGAACACACACACACACACACAAAAAAAAAAAAAAGCTTGTCAATCTTCTGGAGATAAAAAAGTGGGGTTGAGGGCTTAATAAATTTGGGCATTTTATGTGTAGTCCTGGATCATTATTTTTTAAAAATGAAGACATGAATTCCTAACCATGTGATCTTTAGACTTCCTAATTTATTATTGGGAAGAGAGATAAAGAATATATTGAGGGCTGGGGTTGTGGTTCAGCGGTAGAGCTCTTGCCTAGCATGTGCACGGCCCTGGGTTCGATCCTTAGCACCACATAAAAATAAAGATACTGTGTTCAACTACAATTAAAATATAATATTTAAAAAAAATAATACATAGAGGTCTCTGCAACAAACTTGACAGTAAGGCATGGAAAGGAAGAAAGGATTGGAAAAGTGCTACTCAGTAGATTTTAATTTGATTTCCAAACTGTTGACAGGGCTGCTAGTTTTATGTGCACAGTTACTGAGCAGAGCAAGTTTTTTTGTATGTCAGTGATTTTTTACCTGACATACATAAATATTATGTTTCTTTTGGAGATTCATAAGCAAATGACATTTGGAAAAATTAGGCACAACCAACTCTAAAACACAGCAAAGTTTTCTATATTTTTGCCAAGCAAAAGTTCAAGAAACTTCACTACAGGTGAGAGTAAGAATAAAATAACCAAAACAAGGCTTATATTGAACCTGCAAGACATTATTGAAGGTACTCAGATTTCACTATATACACCAACATCACGAGATTTGCATCTTCAAATTGGTAACGAAATATGTACTCAGTAACACATCCTGAAAAAAGTTTCAAAATATTTAGTGATCAAAAAAATTGTGCTCTGGCCTGTTTGCTAGCAGAAAAAAGTAATAAAATAAGCTACAAGGTCATAATTATTTCTTTAAATTAAATAGTGCTCTTCTATCCCAACTGCTACTTACAATATTTATAGAATAGCTTCTTAGCCTAGAAACATACAGTAAGAGCTCACAGAACTCCCTTGCTTGGGATCAAGCATAAATAAGAAATTTTGTGTATCTGCAGAAAATCTTGATGACCAATGCCCTGGCTGAGTTCTGCAAATCTGGGTTTGATTTAAATATATTTTAATTAAAATAGTAATAGTGTTCATGCGTTGACTATCACTCTGTACTCCTTTGGGCTTTATAACAAACCTATGCTGTGTAGAACACATTGTCCCCATTTTATAGATGAGGAACAGAGAAGTTAAAAACTTTAGGCAAGGACTGGGGTTGTGACTTAGTGGTATAGCACTTGCCTAGCATGGGTACGCCCTGGGTTTGATTCTCAGCACCATATATAAACAAAATAAAGGTTCACTGACAATTAAAATACACACACACACACACACATATATATATATACTTTAGGCAAGGTCACACAGTAAATGGTGAAGCTAGGATGTACCTGAGCACAATGGTGGTTGTGCAACAAGCCTCATTGTGTGTTCAAAGACCATCTGTCTTAGTTGCAGAGATAGGAAACAGCTACAGCTCCCCTAAGATCCTGACCATGAGGGCCTTAGAGGTTTAGAAAGGAGAGGTATACAAGCACTGGAGTGGACAGTCTGTAGGTCAGATCCATTATGGCTTTCACAGGCCACAGGCACCTTTGCCTCATGGGCCCCTCCTCCATAAAAACACAACTAAAAAACTTAAATGTATATTTTATGACTATATTGGTATGAAGACAAGTGTGATCTACACTAAATTTGTTATTATATATTTTTGTTATCATCCTCTTCCTCCTCCTCATCTTCATTTTGATTAGTTTTTTTGTGATTTTAAAATAACTTGAACTAAACGATTTTTGTGGGCCCCTGTGAGTTCTATGGACACCGGACTGTGTGTCCACTGTGCCTGGTGGATGAGTCAGCCCTGGGGGGGTGGGGCATGGAAACTCAGTGGTACTCTGAAGAATTGGTAGAGAGGGTTTGAATAAGAAAAAAAAAAAGAAGGATTTTAATTAACTTCATGGGAAAATGGAATTGGGAATGAAAATTATCTAACCAGGACTCCCCCACTGCTGAAAGTGAAGGGTGCTTGTTGGGAACAGAGGATGATAAGGAAAGCCTTGAAAATCCAGGATCTTAGTTCAGAAAGGGGAGTGGCAGAATTGGACCCAACACCAGTTGAAGAAGGGTCAGTTCTCATCCTTGATAAAACTTTCACCCAGTCATGGCTAAATGAAGAAAACAAGGACAGTAAGTATTTTACATGGTTAATTTAAAGACCTGTCATTTTTTTTACATAATTAGGTCCTTCATAATTAGGGGGTTTAGATACCTCCTTAATTTATAATGAAGCGTAGGTGGTAGCTTTAGTAGATGGTTATTTCTTTTAATGTCTTTTCCTGACAAAACAAAAAAACCAACAACCTCAAAAATTATTTTGAATTTTTATGGGTCCACAAAATGGAGAAATGTTGAAGTCACTGTATTGGGAAATCTCTTGCCTTGTGGAGAAGAGCCCAGGCTCTGTATGGAACATCATTTAGGTTAGTCACTGTCCTACTAGTACACAGGTCCCATGGTGGAGGTGACAGTCTCTTTCCTCCCATAGCTGCTACCTGGTTGACTCCTTTCCTCCATTCCACAGTGGATACTACCTTCTTTTCCCAGGGTCCTCTTGGCTGCTCTTGCTTTCCTCCATTACTGTTCTGGAGTGGGAGTGGGGCTTCCGCCACTGCAGCAAAGTGGATGAACAGAAACAGAAATCCTTTCAGAAGGTCTACTTCTCCAGCCTACCAGAAACTGCTTTTGCTTCACTCATCCTCATCCTGTCTGAGCTTAGGGTTCACGGAAGAAACCCTCAAATCATTGGCTTTATATAGAACGGCATGCCTGGGTCCTGTTAGAGTAGCAAGTGGAGGCACAGTAGAACATGGTGGCCTACAGTGGCCTTGCAAGAGCATCAAAGTGCCAACCTCACAGTGTCACTCTGCTGGGTGAGTGTGGCTGAGCCACACTTGCAGAGACACTCCAGGAGGAGTGTCTGAAAGCAGAAATGTTGGAGGAGGGGCCTGGAGTGCTCCAGCCAAAGGTGTTAAAGACCAAGGACAGAGAAGGGCCACAGTCAGGGGTGTCATAGGTGAGAAGGAAATGTCTGCAGGGTGTGGTGACTGACAGGGTGAAGGGAGTGTTAAGGGTGCCTTAAAGAAATAAGTGATTATTGTCCCTTCTGTTTAACAGCATCAACGTGGGATGCAATGATCATTTTTAACTCACTGCTTTTAGGCTCTAGTAGATATCTTCACTGACCTACAATTTTGCATTATCCAATTGATTTCATGATAATTGATAAATTCGCAAAGATTGCTCAGGACAAGTTACTAGAGAATTTTATATACTACCTTTAAATTGCCTCAATAATAATTCAAGGAGTTATGACCATTTCTGTTGATTCCATGTAAGCATAAAGCTTTAAAATTATTATTTCTCAATAAAATTCCGCAAGTAGGAAGAACATTTCTAATTTATTGCCATTAAGCATAGCACTTGCTGGGCATAGTGGTGTGTGCCTGTAATGCCTGTGATTTGGGAGGCCAACGCAGGAAGATTGCAAGTTCAAGGCCAGCCACAGCAGCTTGGCAAGGTTCTCAGCAACTAATGAAGCCCCATTTCAAAATAAAAAAATAAAAAGGGGTAGGAGCAGGGATGGAGATCAGTGGAATAGCTCCCCTGGGTTCAACCCCAGCAGCGAATAAAATAAAACAAAACAAAAGCATAATAAAAAAAAATCTCACTTGAAATCACACACAGCATGAGAATGTCTCATCAACTTGTTAAGTATTAAACTGTCAATATAATAAAACACAAATGCTACCAATTATTAGATGGGGAATGAGAAAATAACACAGCCTGGTTCTATCAGAACCTATGGTAAAAATCCTGAGATTTGTCCTTCCTTGATATTTTCCCTCAATAACTAAATAGTAAAGTTAAATAATACATCATTAAACCAGAAGTTCTGGTGTTCACCAACAAGCAGCTAGATACCAGTGAGCTTGACTGTCTGCCCTATGCCCCATTCACTACTTGTGCGACGAACCTTGACAGGAAACTAAGCCTGAGCCTAAGAGAAAAAAAAAAAAAAGAGTTATTATTACCTGCCCAGCAGGGTCACAGTGAAATAGTGCCATAGCATGGCCAAATACCTACGTGTGCTCCCTCTAATCCCCAGTACTAGGTATAGAACCCAGGAGTAGAGTGTTCTGCCTCTAAAATAAGGGTCAGCCCTTTTTTTATTTTTACATTTTGAGACAGGATCTGGCTAATTTGCTGAGTCTGGCCTCAAACTTTCAAACCTCCTGTCTCAGCTTCCTAAGTAGCAGGGATTAGAGATGTGCCTGATAGTGCCCAGTGGCTCATTCTTAATTTTTACAAGAAAACCTTTCTTTGACTGTTTCCACTTCCCAGGTATGATGTCCAGAGACTGTCCTGGACTTTTCCAGGTGAGATCTTTTCATCCGTCAGAGGTGATGATGGAGGTTCTGGTCCACTGTGTTTCTACCTCTTTGACTGACCGTGTCTTTAACTAGTCACACACTCTACTTCATTAAACTGGTCACATTAGATATCCAGTGTTTTAGTATCAAACATAGGCCTGTGATTATTAGTGAAATAAATCCTGCAATTCCTTTATCTAATTCCTTCTTTAAAAATAAATAAGGCTGTTTCCTGAAGTTTCTGATATACCCTCGAAATATGTTCTATTGATTTTCTGCAGGTAGTCATTCCTCAAGCAACAACAGAAAAGAGGAAAATTATATTTTTGAATCCAAGAGTGAACAAGGCAGAAGAGAACACCCAGCCCCAGAAACAGGTAAGTGGGTGCCTTTGAAAATGCACTGCAGAGTCGAGACACCTGTAGAACTCCATGAGCCCAAATGGAGACTGTGAGATGAAGCCGAGAGAGTTCATGGCAGGAACACTGATCCGTGGACCAGAAGTGCCTCCTCATCTTCTGTGTCACAATGCATCTTGGTGCTCTTGAAGCAGCTCACTGTCTCTGGACCTCAGCTTTCTCTTTCATAGATTCTTCTAGGGTGACAGTCTGTAGAAATGATCATACTTGTGGCATAGTAGCCAAGAACTTGGACTCTCTGTTTGTATGCCACTGTTCAAATTCTGGCTTCACCACTGAACTTGGTGACCTTGGGCAGGTTCTTATCTCTCTGGATCACAATTTCCTCATTGGTGAGATGAGGACAGTAGCTATGCCTGCCTCACAGGGTATTAGGAGAATTAATGGGACAATTAATATAGGGCATTTAGCATACTACTTGGCTCAGGTGATGAGCCAAATATAAAATCATGGCTATTATTGAGTTATTTGTAATATAAAAAGAATGAAGAGACCTAATGCTCTCTCCCAGTGCTCCAGCAACAAAGACAGAAGACTTCAGAAACAGGAAAGTATATATAGGAGGTGGAAGGAAAATGAATTAAGTGAAAAATACCATAATTCCATACTTTTGATTGTTTTTAACTAGAAAAAAGATACTTTGGACAGAGTCCTGTAGAAAGGCAGGTTTTAGTCCTAATTTCTAAACTAGTAGGAAGAGATTCAGGAGAATAAAATATATATATAATTTTTAAGCAATATCTGCCTGAGAATAATCCAGATGTGAAGTGCCTGGATGCAACTTCAGTCAGGTCTACTGGCCTACTGAACTTAGCCTATCCCAGGAAATTTGCATGAAAGAGTCTCGTCAACATTTAGAAGGATACCAGCTTTCTTCTTGTTCCACAGCCAGATGTATCCAGAGGCTTAGTTGTAACTGATTGGTGTCCATTCTATGGGTTAGGTATTTCAAATGCTGTTCCCATTCACATGAGCAGAGTACATCATTCAAGTACATAATTCATCACCTTAGCTGGCTACCAAGAATTCTATCATTGTATGTTTTAGAAAAGATTGGAAAATTTTAAATCTCAAATTGCCCAAACTAACAGTATCGAAGAAACTATGCCAAATAATTATTTTAAAGTGGAGAGTACCAGAGTGCTATGGTGCACACTTGTGAGTTCAACTAAGAATCAAATGATCAAAAGTAAACACAAGTAGCACATATCTGTGATCCCAGCAACTTAGAAAATGGACACAGGAGGATCACAAGTTCTAGACCAATCTGGGGGTGGGGGTG